AATAATAAGAGGGGCCAGCACAGTGGCGGGGAGGATTAACCCACTGCTTGTGACACCAGTGTCCCATGTGGGAGAGCCAGTTCCAGTCTCTGTGGATTCAGTTCCAATCCAGCAACCTGCCAACGCACCTGAGAAAGCAGCAGAAGATGGCTCAAGTACTTGGAACCATAGGAAACACCGACAGAGTTCCACGTTGCTGGCTCCTGACATCTTCCCAGCTGTGGGCATTTGGGTCACTTGGAGAGTGAAAAAGCAGATGGTAGATCTCTGACACTCTGCCTTTCAAACAAACAAATCTTTTATAATGCAGGAAGAATGCATTATGAAGATGTGTTATTGGCATCACACAGTATAGACTGCAGCATCAGCAGACTTGCACAGGTAGAGGCAAAACAGTGACATAAACTACGTGAATGCTTCCTGCATGACTGACAGTACACCTGGTGGAGAAACAAGTCCCAAAACCTAGCACTAGACCACGCTGATGGCCAGAGCCAGCTACTGCTGGCTCAAGAGCACCAAGGCAGGGAAGGCACAGGGCTTCTTAGGCACAGAGAGACAGAGCTAGCGTCGAGCTGGGCACTCAATGTTAACTAAACATTGAGCAGCGGAAATGAGTAGGTTATTCAAAAAAATTACAACTGGAAAAAAATATGAAATTTTGGGCATCTGGAGCACCACAGGAATCACATATTTTATGTGGACCTATTCCCCCTCCAAAAAATGAGTATAAACCTCGATAGATAAGTTATACATTAAAAACATTTCACTGCATCAGAAAGTGACAATTTTTCCACTCAAACAAAACAATTCAAAAGAAGCAATTCTTTTAATGTAAAAAAGCAGTGGTTATATCCTTTTTCTAAACAAAAAGGAACCGGAAAAGAGAATTTGGTCCAAATTTAAACAATGCTTATATGGCAGGGATGTTGAAATGTCCAAATTGGGCAGTTATCTTCGACACACGAGACCTATCACAGCTGTTGAACCAATGCCCAGACACCCAGACCCTCAGAGGAGTGAGTCTGATTGCAAGTGTGCTCAGAACACACGGAACGCGCCCTTGGCCACATGACAGCAACTTCACGTCGGGAGCCAACAGAACTCTGCTTTCCGAGTCGAAATCTTCCTCAGTCTTTTCCTTCTTCAGAGGTTAGGAGGTCATTCTGGCAACCATCAGATGTCTGTCTGTATCATCAAGCAGACGATTGCAAACTCCTGTTCAATTTTTAGGTCTTCCAAGCACAATTAGTTTTAAAAAGCTCCTGCTATGTTTCCAATTGTCCACAGAGCTCTTGCCAGCAGATGAATTTATAAGATATGGCCACTCTGAAACCAGCACGCAGATCACATCCGGAGTGTGGGAAGACTCCCATGGCACTTTCGCCAGAAAATTTGTGATTTTTCAGCTGTGTCCACGATGCTGACCATATCATTGAATGGATTTACCTCATTTAAATACCCAAAACTATCTCTCCAGTAAGCTGTGCCAGGAATAAACTCCTCCTTGTCAAACTGTTCAAAGAGTAGTCTATGTTCCTTTGTTCCTAAATCTGTATATATGAAACACATGAAATGTATAACTTAAATAAAATTTTAAAAAGACAAAGAAAAAAAAGAATAGTGTTTCTTTTCTCATAACAGAATAAATGAATGAATGAATACAGAGCCAGCTATCTAAACTTCAGTCTATGGCCTTAAGACATTCTTGGAACAAACACACTGTGCATGACTGGGAATCCTTAAGCTTGCTTCCATTTCCTGTGAAAACCTGTTGAAAAGGTAGTCGTTCAAGGTCCTGTCTCTGATAAAGCTGATCAGTTTCAAGTTGTTAAGAAGTCTTTCAGGATTACCATCAGTATTCGATACCAACACATGCCGAGCCAACTATAAAAGTCACGCACTGTAACGACTCGGAGTTCTTTCTTTACACAAATTGCAAACCCAGATGTAATGCCAGCCATGGCAAGAGCTCCAGCCGTAACCACCACAGGACCCAAACCCGACTTCACCAAGGCAAAGACATGTCAGGTAGGAGGGATGGGGAAAGGGAGATTAACACATCCTAGGTTGTATGTGTTAGGAAAAAGTAGGTCTGGTTTTCTGTTGTGTAGTAGGGTGACTACAATGATAATGCAGCATGCATTTTTTTAAAAAAGAAAAAGTTACACAACATGATTTTTAAAGTTTTCACCATAAAGAAATGATAAGTTGGGCCGGCGCTGCAGTTCACTAGGCTAATCCTCTGCCTTGCGGCACCGGCACACAGGGTTCTAGTCCCGGTCGGGGCGCTGGATTCTGTCCTGGTTGCCCCTCTTCCAGGACCGCTTTCTGCTGTGGCCAGGGAGTGCAGTGGAGGATGGCCCAGGTGCTTGGGCCCTGCACCCCATGGGAGACCAGGAGAAGCACCTGGCTCCTGCCATCGGATCAGCGTGGTGCGCCGGCCGCAGCGCGCCGGCCACGGAGGCCGTTGGAGTGTGAACCAACGGCAAAAGACCTTTCTCTCTGTCTCTCTCTCTCACTGTCCACTCTGCCTGTCAAAAAATTTAAAAAAATTAAAAAAAAGATTAAAAAAAAAAGAAATGATAAGTGCTCATAGATTTCTTTGAATTGATTTGAATGTTATAAGATTTATACCCATATTGAAACATCACATGGTACTCCATAAATCTGTACAATTTTTTGCATGTCAATTAAAAATAAATAATGTGAAGAAAATTACAAATCCAGTTAATATTAACAATTTAAGAGATTAGAAAGAAATTATCCAGTAAAATCAACAAAGAATGAAAAAATTATAAAGGTTAAATGAACTATTATAAAAATAGATGTACTTAATTAAAAACTGGAGACTTTTTTTAAAAAACAATTCCCGGGGGGGAGTTAAGGGTGGGGTTGGGGAAAAAGCTGTTTTTTTGGCAAAATTTTTATTTTTTTTTCCACTCCATTTTTCCCGGTAACCCCAAAACCGCACAAAAAAAAAAAGTTCTTCCCCTTTTTTCTCCTTTTTTTTTTTTTTTTCTCAAATTCGACCAGCCAAGTGGCAGTGGAGAGAGAGACAGAGAGAAAGGTCTTCCTTTTTGCCGTTGGTTCACCCTCCAATGGCCGCCACTGCAGCCGGCGCACCGCGCTGATCCGATGGCAGGAGCCAGGATCCAGGTGCTTTTCCTGGTCTCCCATGGGGTGCAGGGCCCAAGCACCTGGGCCATCCTCCACTGCACTCCCTGGCCATAGCAGAGAGCTGGCCTGGAAGAGGGGCAACCGGGACAGAATCCGGCGCCCTGACCGGGACTAGAACCCGGTGTGCCGGCGCCGCAAGGCGGAGGATTAGCCTATTGAGCCACGGCGCCGGCTAAGTTTATTCACTTTTAATAAATATTTAAAAAGTTTCAGCTTTCTGACAGGTACCTCAAAAACATGGAATGTATTATGCATCAATTTATAGAAAACAGATGAAAACCAAGGGTTACTGCACAAACTAATGCTAACTGTCACACACAAAAGCTTGCTGAATGGGACATGGTATCACTCCCAATCTGACAACATCTATTTCAAAATACTAGAACAGACGGCAGTTCTGTAGGGTATAATGTCTAATCGATCTTGGGCCCCAGAAAAGAATGCTTGTAATAAATTTTACAAAATGTTAGTAGCTACTTAAAACCTTCCTACTTCATTGATTTTAAATTAGCATCTTCAGGATCACGGTATATTGAAATTTACATAAACTGCTTGCTAATTAGAAAAAGTATAAGTAGAAATAGAAATTACTAAAGCCACTCATTTGTATTATACTCTATCTGATCATCTGTAGTTGAAAATAAGAATTCTACATGTTTCTTGGAATATTTCTCTGACAAAATCTCTTTCATCATTCTGAAGAGGCAGTTTTTAAAGAATTTTTAGTTTAGCTCCAACACAAATTCTCAGTAACTTGGGGTTTGACACAGCATTTAAGATGTCCACATCCTACACTGGAGTACCTGGGTTTAATTCCTGCTACTAAGAACTCTGGCCAGTAGCACTGATGGCTCAAGTCACGGGGATCCTGTCACCCACACAGGAGTCCTGAGTTGAGTTCCCAGTCCAGCTTCAGTAACGGCCTCAGCCCAGACTTGATCATCTTGAGCATTTGGGGAGTGAACCAGTGCATGTTACTGTGCGCAGTCTCTCTCTCTCTCTCTCTCTCTCTCTCTCTCTCTCTCTCAGACACACACACACACATACAAATCACTCTCAATATATCATTTTTCTGTAATCTTTATGTTGTAAAGATCTCCCTCTCTTTCTTATATTATAACTCTCATGTGTTTCTGACATGCCACTGTCAAAAATACAAACCATTTACTCTCTAACCAACTGAAGTAAAATATCCAAACAAAAGCATGACAGTTTTAAACAAATAAACCACCCCTTAATCTGAATTGGTGCAGGAAGTGAACAGAATGAGCAGCAGATCTTGTCTGCAAAGCATATAAGCTTTGGAGAGCCTGGACTGAAATTCTTCCTTTCTACTTTAGCATTTCTAAATGTGATGACATAAAGTACCTTTGATGCCTAATTATATTCTAATACTTAAGTATACCATTTTGTAATTCCAAATACAGTGGAATAAGGGAGAAAATAAGATGTAATTATTAAATATCCAAAGGTAAATATATTATTTTCTTTCTTAAAATTAGTATCTACCCAAACTTACTTTAAAAAAAAAAAAAACAAACTTGTCACAGTGGCCTAATACTTCTGCTTCTATTTTGTTCGAAATTGTTCATCCATGTAATTGTCAGGTAAACATTGTAAACAGACATTTTCCAATGGCGATTTTTCACAGTTCAGTAATGTAAAGCACTTAATGACTTTAACTGGGACTCAGCTTCCACGCTGGAAACCAAGTACTTTTCAGTCTACTGGGAATAACGTGCTAATTACTTAAATATTAAACATAATTCCATACTAGTGGTCTTCTTACCACTCACGACACTAAGGAAAGTTTTACTTACTGAGACATCTTTCAGCTTTTTCTCAAAGGAGAAATGACAGGACTCTTGAGAAAAATTAAACTTGTATGCATCGGCTGGCCCTGCTTCAGACACCAGGGCTCTCTTCAGTTCATCGACATACTTTTCTTTTTCCATGGCCATGTCATCAGCTTCCTGGGTAATCTCTGTTTCAGAAACTAATAGGAAACATTAGTTAGAAGTCTTTAAGTGAAAAATTGTCTAGCCAAAGAAACTATTTGCAAATATCTGAATGTTTAAAATGTATTTAAGATCATTATATGCTTTCTTGGAGTATTCTTTTTTTTTTTTTAATTTATTTACTTATTTATTTGAAAGGCAGAGATAAAAGAGGGAGTGGGGGGTGAGAGAGGGAGAGATCAATCTTCCATCGCTGGTTCACTCCCCAAATGGCCAAAATAGCTCGGGTAGGCCAGGCCAAAGCCAGGAGCTTCTTCTGGGTCTCTCACATGGGTGCAGGGGCCCAAGCAGTTGGGCCATCTTCCACTGCTTTCCCAGGTGCATTAGCAAGGAGCTGGATCAGAGGTAGAGCGGCAGGCACTTGAGCAGGTGCCCACCTAGGATGTCCGCACTGCAGGCAGAGGCCTAACCTTCTGTATTCTGTTTCTTCTTTCTGCTGATGTGTTCTCCTTCCAATCTGTTTCTTCTCATGCTTGTAATGTTTAGCCCTGCTCTCCCCTCTCCCCACAGAGGTAAGGGTGTGGGTAGAAGCAGTCTTAAGGGTAGCATACTTGGTCTTTCTTGGAGTTTTATGGGTTTTATCAGTTCTAGACAGTTTTGAAAGTTAATTTCTTAACTTACTGTTTATAATTGAGGCAAAGCACTCAATTTTAAACTCCTACCCATACATAATAGAAGCTTGGGATTATGATCTTGGGGGATTTTTGTTCATTCATGGTCAGATTTTATGCTGCACCCCAAGTGAGGGAACGGTATTGTTAATATTATTTCATTATCAGCATAACTCTTCCAGGCTCTTTTCTTTACAGTGAGAGCTCCTTGTTTAACTCCTGAAGAAGTCTGGAGCCCTAACATTCCACCATGGCTCAACCATTGCACTCAGTCACACAGACATGCACTGAGTTCAGATACTACATGAATCTATAACTGAACTTAAGTCACTGTCAACAGTTGGATTGTTAACATCTCTTCAAACGTGGCATCTGAAGTTTCCCTAACCTACACTCAAAAGTGACAATGTTATCCGCGCATCTGTTTGCTTCCAAATGTACGGAAGTCCAAGACTTACAGGTGGGTGTAGCAGCACAGGTTCTCAACCTGCAACATGCCGTATCAGACTGTCTGCGGTTGAGTCTGGCAACTCTTCCAATCCATCTCCCTGCCAACGCACCAGAGAGGTACCAGGGGATGACTCCAGCACTTACGTCTGCCACCAACATCAGAAACCCAGGTTCTCCAGTTCCAGGCCTGGGCCTGGTCTACGCCTGCTGTTTGGGCATTTGGGGAGAGTGAACCAGTGCCTAGAAGATCTCTCTCTCTTCGCCCCTGCCTCTGTCTTTGACACTCTGCCTTTCAAACAAAGAAATAAATATTTTTCAAAAATCCTAAAATGACAAGATTTAATCTAACATTTGTTTGGAATGTGTGTGCAGTGTGGTGATTTCCTCCGCCAGTTTAGGCTATGACCATGCTGAAAGACCCATACAGTTCTGTACTCATATTTTTATACTTGCGGGTAGCATTTGCCTATTTTATTCATCACTTAAATATATAATTTTCATTTTGTAACACAGAAAACTGAGACTGAGAGACAACGAAATGGTTTGAGATCATTGAGTTGTTAAGTGAAAAAACTGGTTTGAGATGAGGTAGAGAATTGGGACAATGGCTGAATTATTACCTGCCATGATTTTGAAAAACATGGGATACCAGGAATCTTGATTAAAGAATCCCTACAATACAGTACACCTTCCCATCCCTTAGATCAGGATGGTTGCAGGTATCTGGAAGTCCCTGGAGAGAAAATGAGGATCTCAGAATGACCCTGGCCAGTTTCTTTTTATTACAAAGCCCTGATGATGAAATATGATTTTTATCTGCAGTGGAACATTTGACGGAGGTAAAACTAAAAACACGTTATATTCCTTCAGGATTTTACAGCTTCTAAAGCACTTTCACTATTTTCTGTCTCTAAAGCACATTCATGTTTAATATGATCATCACTATCAAACCTATGACCTTTCAAGCAAGCTGTAACCCTGCTCAAAAAACAAGAAGGCCACGTACTTCCTAGACAATCTCCTAATAATACATTTGCACTATTTTTTGAATTTTTATTTATTTGTATTCATTTAGAAAGGCAGAAAGAGAGAGGGAGGAAAGAGATCTTCCATTCACTGGTTCACTCCCAAATGCCCACAAAAACGACACCGAAGGTTTGAGTCCAGAACTCATCCAGGTACCCCAGGTTCATGTCAGGGACCAAATTCTTGAGTCGTCATCTGCTGCCTCCCAGGGAACACACTAACAGGAAGCGGTACTAGACGCCAAGTAATCAGGACTTAAGCCAGGGACTCCGATATGGGATGTAGCTGTCCCAAGTAGTGACTTAACCACTACACAAAATGCCTACCCTGCACCGTTTAAAAAGTTACACATTAGTGCTCGCTTCGGCAGCACATATACTAAAAAGTTACACATTATTTCACAGAGAAATGAGAAAAAAAATCTCCGGAAGTTTTCTTTAATTAAGCTACACAGAATCTTAGAAGAAAACACAAAAGATGACTCAGTATCTACTGCTAACAAATCTGTTAGATGCAGTCTAAATTTCTTAAGAGTGAAAACACACCTATCTGAAAATACTCAACCAGAATTCCTTCATTTAATATACAAAAAATATTGGCTATGGATGTGCAGGCATTATTTATTTATTCTAGGAATGCGGGAAACAACAGATATCAGTTGTCAGAGACAAAAATGTCCGTCTTGTGGAGCCTTCAAGTGTGAACATCTGAATGTTGCAGACGCCATCTTAGATCCCACCTTAGTTATCCCCTTGGCTCCTCCCTTTATGGAGGCTATGCTTCTTACCATACAAAATCTAATTTTTCAGATAGAAAAACAAATAAAATGAATCTATCTTTCTACTTAAACTACCTGTTTTAAGTTATGTAACAAATTAATTTATCAATTCTAAAAAAATGTATTTGGATACTTCCTGTAAACGTGAATGTCAAAACCTGTCTATTCAGAACTTCAACCCTGGAACAAGGACTTGGTCATCAGTTTTGGATTTTGTGGCTAAGAACATATGGAAGAAGCACAGCTGCAAGCATTCATGTCCATAAAATATCAGTGCCCAGGAATAAAAGCAATGGAAATAATGAAATTCAGCAAGAATGCAGCTGAACCATTCATAATAAGGCGTGAAAGGTGAGCAGGCCAACATAACCAAAAACTAGGAACTACTTTCAGCCTGGGCCCAGAAAGCATCGCACTAACTCAGCGTGAGGGTGCATGAAGACCTGGGAACAAAAGAAGACGCCTGCATAATGTGAGCCAAAGACTGCACCCTCCTCAGGTTCCGCCAGAGCTCAGGTCACGGCAGCTTTGCCAACACAGCAGTCTTACCAGTATCACATCCTCAACCCACTGGACTGCCTCATTTATTAAAGATCCTTCTTCCAGTGAGCTGTCACATTATTTCCATACAGGTCAGCAAATACCTATCTATGTATAGGACAATTCTAAGTACAACTAACTGTTTAATGATAAAATAATTAAGAGTTTAATTTATTTTTCAATAATCTCAAGAGGCGGATAAGTTCCTTACTTCCGACAGCAATTTTCATAACAGTCATTGATCATTACCCCACTTTGCAATTTAACCCTTTGAGAGAACCCTCTGTAATACTGAAGTGATGACAGGCCACATGAAAATTAGACCCACAAATCACTCATTAGATAAAGCATTGCTAATGGGAAAGAAATCGGTGAGTTCAGTGTGTGGGAGGTTAAAAGGAACCCCACATCCTTTTAATTTCACTAAGCTGAAAAGAAAAAAAAATTATCCAAATTGAAGGTTGCAGCAATCAAAAAGCTGCACGAAAAAACAGGATGAGGTATAGGAAGGAAATTCATTTTCATGTTTCAATTATTTAATTGTTTCAATGTTCTTACTCACATTATTGTCTATCTGTAAAGCACCAAATTACTTTTTATGTAATGACTTAACTAAACATGGACATATGTTATTTGCTTTAATACTTTATACCTGATGTTTAAACAAGAAAAGAGGAATGAATAATGAAAGGCATAAGCATATGTGAGATATCAAACTGTATTAGAGATCTTTCAAAATAAAATGACCATATAGTGATTTCTGTTTGAAAGCTTGTTCACTACTAGAAGCCAAAATGTTAACAAGCCACAAAAGAATGCACAAGTTTGGTATCAAATTTTTGTCACACTAAATCCCATTAACTGGAAAACAAATGGTAGAATGTAGTACATTTGTGATTAATGTCAGCATTAAAGAAATATGAAACTGGAGTTTCTATTCAAAACCATGCAAACTCTAAAATGAACAGTTCTTGTTCGTAACTGGTTTTATTTATTTGAGACATTATTCTACTCTTCCAATCAAAAAGCATTCACTGAGCGTGCCATGTCCTAGTGTTTGTCTAGATCCGAACAAGTGATGGACAGATCGCATGGGTCTCCCCCTCTCCATGTATATCCCTAGGATCCAGACAAACAACACTCATGTTGATAGCATTAACTGTGGCACAGTAGATCAGGCAAGACTAATGGCACCAGAAGCCCATATGGGTTCCGTTTTGACTCCCAGTGCTCACTTCTAATCCAGTCCCCTGCGGAAGCGCCTGGGCCTGTGACATCCATGTGGGAGACATGGGTGGAGTCCCTGGCTCCTGGCTGTGGCCTAGCCCAGCCCTGGCTGTTGCAGCCATTCGGGTAGTGAACCAACAAACAGACAATCTCTCTCTCAATAAATAAATCTTTAAAAAAAAAAAAAAAAAGAGGAAAGAGAACTGCCAGCCCACTGTATAGGACATAACCCAAGTGTTCTGTAAGTGTAAAGTTAAATTTCTGATGGAAAGTTAGATTATTATTCTCCCCTAAACTTTGATGATAAGACAATTTTAACAATACACTACTATGAGTTTGCCTTGGGAAAGGAGGCTCACTGAGCAGACCAGAAAGTAACCTCTTCCTCTGGTAATGAAGGGTCCGGAAGCTCCTCAAGACCATCTGACCATGACTTACTATTCCAAACTCACCATCTGCCAGCTAGAAATACCCAAGTGATAAACACAGTACTGCTTACACGCAAGCCACCATGCCACCCAAGACCCGCCTCCCTGGCAGTGCCGTCAGACTGCTCCTCTCTCCCCAAAGACCAGCTTTACTCAATACCGTAGGTTTGAGCCCAATGCACGTCTTCAGACTAGAACAAGAGCTGCCACGTCCCTTCTGCAACAGGCACAGAGCTACACACCTGATCTGTACCAACCAACCAACAACTGAGTTCTCCTACATGGAAGTTTTCAGCTTAGGGGTTGGCCTTGTGGTGTAGCAGGTTAAGCCACCGCCTGCAGTGCTGGCATCCATACGGGCACCAGGTCAGTCCCAGCTGCTGCACTCCCCATCCAGCTCCCTGCTTGTGGGGAGCAACTGGGAGCAACTCCGACTAGACTAAGTTACTGGAATTAAGACTTATTCTATGCATCTGCTCTCCCACAATATGGCGCTGGGAGAGGAGAAAACAGCTTCTACGCAGCTGCCTCTTGCCAACTTGAGTGATGACCTCCAGGAGCTGATCCTGCTCCTGATTGGAGGAGAGCAGCGTACTCGGCGTGTGGGCAGCCGAGTTGGGATTGGCGGAAGAGGACTATAAAGGAGGAGAGAGACAACATGCACCAGGAACATCTAAGAGGAACATCTATCTGAAGGAACACCTGTGCAGCCCCCGAGAGAGCCGGCCGGCGGTGTGCCGCTCCCCCGCGGAAGTGGGGAAAGTGGCAGGGGGAACCGCCCTTCCACGGAGGTGGAAGGGTCGGTAGCTAACCCGGGAAGAACCAGCAGCAAACCCGGGAAGGGCCGAGCAGACAAAAGAACAGCGCAGGGTCCTGTGTCGTTCCTCCACGAAGACAGGGAGCGACATAATGGTGCCGTGACTCGGATATGAAGCCTAGGCAGGGTTTGGTGTCCTTCCTCCACCAAGAGGGGGAGCGACACTGCTGAAGCACCTGGGAAGGCAGCAGAGATTGGCCCAGGTACAAGGGTCTCGGCACTCACGTGGGAGACCTGGAAGAAGCCACTGGCTCCTGGCTTCGGCCTGGCCCAGCCCTGGTCTTTGTGGCCATTTGGAGAGTTAACCAGTGGACGGAAGACATTTCTCTCTCTCTTTCCATAACTACCTTTCAAATAAATATAAAAATAAAAATAAAAATAAATTTCATGTACAGCTTAATTGCATTCCATAGTAAGTCCTGGAAACAGTACCTTTGAAGTTTCTGTATTTTACAGTAATCCCATCTCAAATGTACTTGTTCTCTGTCACAAATAATCAAATCGAAAAACCTGTGAGGAGCAGATGCTTACTGGTTCCCGTGTCTTATGCTGGAGAACCAGGGTTTGATTCCTGGCTCGAGATCCTGGCTTCAGCTGCCTGCTAATTCAAGACCCTGGCAGGTGACAGTAATGGCTCAAGAAACTGAGTTCCTCCCATCTACATAGGACAACTAGAACATGTTCCTCCCATCTACATAGGACAACTAGAACATGTTCCCAGTGCCTAGCCATAGGACAACTAGAACATGTTCCCCGTGCCTTGCCATAGGACAACTAGAACATGTTCCCCGTGCCTAGCCATAGGACAACTAGAACATGTTCCCCGTGCCTAGCCATAGGACAACTAGAACATGTTCCCCGTGCCTAGCCATAGGACAACTAGAACATGTTCCCCGTGCCTAGCCATAGGACAACTAGAACATGTTCCCCGTGCCTAGCCATAGGACAACTAGAACATGTTCCCCGTGCCTAGCCATAGGACAACTAGAACATGTTCCCCGTGCCTAGCCATAGGACAACTAGAACATGTTCCCCGTGCCTAGCCATAGGACAACTAGAACATGTTCCCCGTGCCTAGCCACAGGACAACTAGAACATGTTCCCCGTGCCTAGCCATAGGACAACTAGAACATGTTCCCAGTGCCTAGCCCCAGCCTCAGCCCAGTTCTGGCTTTTGCAGGCATTTGGGGAGTGAATCAGCAGATGGGAGTTAGATATAGATATAGATATAGATATAGATATAGATATAGATATAGATATAGATATTGATATAGATATTGATATCGATATCGATATAGGTGTGTATGTGTGTGTGTGTGTGTATGTGTGTGTGTGTGGGTGCTGTGTGTCTCAGATAAATACTTTTTAAAGCCTGGAAGTATAAATTAAATTTGACTATGCTATATAATTTATAACATTTCCGAAAGAAAATTTCACAGTGCAGTTTATCATTTTTTTAATCTTTATTTATTTATTGAAAGTCAGAGAGAGAGGGAGAGACAGAGATCTTCCATTCACTAGTTTACTTCTCAAGCGCCCACAGTACCCAGGACTAAGCCAGGCAGAATCTACTAGCCAAGAACTCAATCCAGGTCTCTCATAGAGCAGCAAGGACCCAGGTACTTACTCTGTCCTCTGCTGCCTCCCAGGGTACACTACTGCAGGAAGCCTGAATCTGGAGCAGTGCCAAGACTCGGTCCCAGGCACTTGTATGTGGAAGGTGGGCCTTCCAAGTAATAAACTTTAGGGAAACATTTCAAAAGGTAATGTCAGTTTTACCCGATATTTACTAAATACTTCAATCTGAGGAATCATTGAGGACTGAAAAACAGCACATTAAATTTTCTTTAAAAATTCTGCTTCAACATTACCTGTCCCAGTCCATGCCGACTGACCATCAGTAAGTAGGATAACAAATCCAGATCCCACTGTTTTCTCCCAAGAAATCTGCAGAAAGTGAATTATACTGGGTTCAGAAGCAAGACGGATTCTGCTTACTTTTCTCCCCATTTTTGATCACCTAAAATGGAAAAATAAATATTTTTATAGGAAACTGTAACTATCAACTAATGACTTTTTTTGTATTGACCTATGAGCTATGCAAACACCAAGAACATAAGGAAATGATTAAAACCAAAAACTGTGCAATACAAACACTGAACTCAGTACAGTGCAGTTTGCTCAACACTGACTCACAGTTTATACAGATGAGAAAAAAGAAGAGGCCTTAAATGGCAACTGATGTTCCCAGGTAATGGAGTGGAATAAAAATTACCATTTCAACAATACCAAGAGTAAATTTTACGCTTTCTTTTCCCCAAGAGTAAATACCCTCTTTTTCTACAACAAAAGAAATGGTCACAGGCACTTCGGTGAATGGTCTGGGAATGTGACAGTAATTAGTGAGGATAAACTTGACCTTAGCCTCTGTCTGGAGAAAGACTGTGAGAAATGACAAGTCAGTAGAAGTCCACTGTCGGCAGCAGTACCCTGTTACACCCTACAAAAGGAGTACCCAGGCTCAGTGACTCAAACACTCTGTCCACTGAGGCAGGAGCCCCTTAACAGAGACCAAGGAGATGAGATTATGACATCCTGAGGTCAATTTCTAAAACTCTGTGTTGTGGGCGGCTTTTGTGGTGCAGCAGGTTAAGCCACAGCTTGCAATGCCTGCATCCCACGTCAGAATGCCAGTACGTGTCCTGGCTGCTCCTCTTCTGATTCAGCTCCCTACTAATGCACCTGGAGAGGCAGCAGACGACGACTCAAGTCCTTGGGTTCCTGACACCCACATGGGAGACCCAGCATCAGTTCCTGATTCCTGGTTCCATGCTGGTCCAACCCTGGCCGTTGCAGCCATTTGTGGACTGAACCAGTGAATGTCTCCCTCTTTATCTCCAACTCAATCTGTCACTGTGTCTTTCAAATAAATAAATCTTAAAAAAAAAATATTGAAGTGTTACATACAGGCATAAAGGAATGCATATCAACAATACAATGGGGTGAATTTTACAACTGAACAAGTCCATGTAAGCAGCACCTACGTAAAGTAGCAGGGCACAACCACTCCAACTCAGTCTCATACGCATTCCCTTCCAGAGACTACTTCCCGAACACCCACTATGCTGTCTGCTGTCTTCTAACAGAGACTGCAGTTTAGAATGCTTTTGTGCCTCAAAGAAATGTAACTGTGCAACATATTCTACTCTGTGTCTCTGGTTCTTTGCCCAGCGTCACGCCTGCCAGACACATCCACGCTGTGACGGACAGCTGTGGAGCACCTTTGGGACCCTGCACTACTCCGTTCTGTAGACAGAGGATAATTTATCCCTGTGGGCACCTCCCAGGTTTTAAGGAAGAATTCTCACAGACATCTATGCCTGTCTGCCACATTTACGCCCATGAGCAGAACTGCAGACTCTAAGGATATATACATGCTCATCACGGTACTTCACGGGCACTCATTCTCTAAAAGGGCTGACCAGTTTCCAACTGCTGCATGAGAACTGTGAACACTTCCCATCCTTGGAAGCACTTTCCACCATTTCTGTTTCAGCATTTGGGTGGGTATGCAGTGGTATTACTTGTGGTTTTAATTCACGTTTCCCAGGGGTGAAACAGATACTGAGCCCTTTCTGTATTATTCACTGGATTTATGAATACCCAGTTTTGTGGAGTATCTGTTCAATCTTGCCAATATTCTTATTCAGTTATCTATTTATTATTAATGCTTTTATTGGTTCTTGATGATTTCTCCTTTATCAATTTGGATATGAATCCTTTTATATGCCTATATGCTGTATCATCTTCTGTTTGATGCGTCATCTATTCACTCTCATAAGGGTATCTTCCCATAAAAAGAAATTCTTACTTTTAATGAATCAAAATTTATCGATTTTTATGTTATGGCTAGCACTCTTGGAGTCCTGCTGAGGACCTCTTTGGTGCTGTGATATATTCTCCTGCATTATCTAGAAGGTTTAATGCTGTAATTCTTACATTTAGATCCCAAATCCACCCAGAATCAATTTTTGTATGTCATGTCAGATAAGGGTCAAGATACAGCTTTTCCTTATAGACACCTCACTGACACAGTACTGCTTACGGAAGGCCCGCCTGTCCCAACTGCACTGTAGTGACAACCTTTGTCTTAAACCCCATGACTGAATATCCGTGGGTCAGTATCCACATTCCTCAGACAGTCTCATTAGTCAGTTCGTCTAGTCCCACACCAATGCCGCACTATCTTAATTACTACAGGTTTACAGTGTCTTAATAATTCAATCTGTAATTCTTCCACATATATTCTTCTTCAAGATTTTTTTTAAATCTTATTCCTTTGTATTTCTATATCAATTTTAAAATCTGTCAATTTCTGCCTATGTACCTGCTAGTGTTTTCATAGGGTAATTTTTAGGTTCTGACATCTTTCCAACATTGAACCTTCGAATCAAAATGGATGGTATGAGGGCCAGTGTTGTGGAACAGTAGGAGGTTAAGTTACCATCTGCAATGCTGGCATCCCATCTGAGCACTGATTCAAGGCCTAGCTGCTCCTCTTCCAATCCAGCTACCTGCTAACGTCCCTGGGAAAGCAGTAGATGATGGCCCAATAACTTGAACAATGGCTACCCATGTGGAAGACCCTTATGGACCTCCAAGCTCCTGGCTTCAGCCTGGCCAAGCCCTGGTAGTTGAGGCAATTTGGTCAATGAACCAAATGAGAGACCACGTAGGATCTCTCTCTCCCTCTCTGTAACTATGCCTTTCAAGTACTATATGTGTATATATGTGTGTGTGTGTGTGTCTTGACTATTGTATTTTAAATTATCGTTTTCCTTTTTTTTAATAAAAGTCCTGAACATTTTTTTTTTTTTAACCAGGCAGAGTGGATAGTGAGAGAAAGACAGAGAGAAAGGTCTTCCTTTGCCGTTGGTTCATCTTCCAATGGCCACCGCGGTCGGCGTGCTGCGGCCAGCGCACTGCACTGATCTGAAGGCAGGAGCCAGGTACTTCTCCTGGTCTCCCATGGGGTGCAGGGCCCAAGTACTTGGGCCATCCTCCACTGCCTTCCCGGGCCACAGCAGAGAGCTGGCCTGGAAGAGGGGCAACCGGGACAGAATCCGGCGCCCCGACCGGGACTAGAACCCGGAGTGCTGGCGCTGCTAGGTGGAGGATTAGCCTATTGAGCCGCAGCGCCGGCCACTGAACATATTTGCTATGACTATTCTTAGGTATTTGAAAGTAAATTCCTGAATAATGCTAATTTACTCCCTAATTCTGATATCAGATTTACTAAATAACTTATTCATACTTAGATCTAACTGTACATATATTTTTTAAAGATTTATTATTTTTATTTATTTGAAAGACAGAGTTAGAGAGAGGTAGAGACAGAGAGAAAAGTCCACCATCCACTGGCTCACCCACCAAATGGGCAAAACAAGCCAGAGCCGAGCTGATCCAAAGCCAGGAGCCAAGAGCTCCCTCCAAGTCTCCTAAGAGGATGCAGGGGCCCAAGGAGTTGGGCCATCTTCTACTGTTTTCCCAGGCCATAGGAGAGAGCTGGATCAGAAGAGGAGTGGCCAGGACTAGAACAGATGCCAATATGGGATGCTGGTGCCGCAGGCCAGAGCTTAAACCCACTGTGCCACAGTGCTGGCCCCTGTACATCTATTTTACATATGCTAAAAGAGAGCTCTGAACAAAAAATTCTCTCCCCCCAAAAATCATGACAATAGACATTTGCCTTTTTAGTTTTCAATCTCTGATCTTGACAGAACAATCCCAAATCGTGAACAGAAAACTAATAAAAAGGATTAGTAAAAGTAGCACCAGATCAGTTAAAGCCTGACTTGGTTTCTTGGACCAACCATGCTGCAAAATTTTATAAACAACCTTGGAAGGTTGTTCTTAATTGATGTTCAAACCAGTTAATTATCCTTTGTTCTAGGGATGTCTGTCTTGGATTTTTGTCAGTAAACTCAAAAAAAAAAAAAAAAAAAAAAAAAAAAGAAGAAGAAGAAGACAAAAACAAATTGACCTAACATTGTCAAAATCACATACAAGGACATTTCAATAGTTCTTGGAAAATGAGTTTTATGAAAAAAACTACATATGCATAGATTCCAAAAATTTTTGTACCAAAATAAACATATCTTTTGATTCCATAATTTCTGAAGTATCTTCACATCAAATGAAAATATTTAAACAACTTATCATCTCTGACTCCATTAAAAATAACAGAAAAAGAATACTTTTCCAAAAATGAATGCTGCAACAACTAAAAGCAATGTCTCCATTTTATTGTAAAATATATTCTACTTTTTACTCCATACAATATAAGCTAAGAATCTGGACCACACAATGTAGTGCCGGAAATAGGACTAGAAGGGTATGAGATCTAAGAAAATCATCATCCTTTTTTTGTTAAAGACTTTGCAGTTTCACAAGAACCTTAGTATTACTTGAACAAATAACATAAATCTAGACAAATGAAACTTTTAAAAACACTAATCTCACTTTCCCCAAAACAGTGTTCCCGTGTCTTTATCTTCAGGCATACACACATCTTTCCTTAAATATACATTGTGTTGTGAGGAAAAGCCTTCTTTTCATATGAGTGAGTATAGACTTTCAGACCTAGAACTCTTAGGAACTAAATAAAACTCACAACTCACGGAGTACCATACTTAACTGCCAAGTATGCTCACATGCATCAGCTCCTAATTTTCACCAGAACCTTATCAAAACGGCAACTATTAGTATCTCCACTGTATTCTAGAAAGGAGAGGTGAAGTCTAACAGCCAAGACCACACACAAAGTCAGGGGTTATGCAAGGAGTCCACTCTATAGCATTTTTGCTGTTGCTAATGCACATGTCTAGTAGAGCTGAAGACAAGAATCAGGGCTCCACGAGACATCATCAGGTACGGGGGGAGTCTGGACTAGTAGTTAGGATGCCAGTTATGACAGCCATGGGATTCCAGCTTCTGGCTCTAGCTTCCTGCTAATGCAGA